ACTTCTGTGGGAAAAGATGCTGGAGGCTCAGCACTATCAGCTGAAATCATCCACCGGGCTGACTGTAGAATAGACCATCAATTGTTCATATTTAAGTTTAAACTGAAGATGAAAAAAATTAAAACAAGTTTATGAGAGTCAGAATACAACCTTGATTCTATTCCAACTGAATTTAGAGAACATCTCAAGAATAAATGTGCTGCACTGAACACTAATAACAGAACAACTGATAAAGTGTGGGAAGACATTAAGCGATCATTAAGAAAGCAAAGGGTTACTGAAAAGATCAAAATGGGTGTCAGAATAGACTGACACTTGCTCTTAATAGCAGAGTAACTAAGGCAAATAGAAAAAAGGAAGTCACAGAGCTGAACAGAACATTTCAATGGGCAGCTCGAGAAGACAAAATAAAATATTATCATGAAATATGTAAAGACCTAGCGTTAGAAAACCCAAAGAAAGAACATGCTCAGCATATCTTAAACAAAGAACTCCAGAAGAAAATTCAAGCTTCAAATTGCAATACTGAAAGATTCTATGAGCAAAATAATGAATGATGCAGGAAGTATCAAAGAAGATGGAAAGAATACCAAAACACTTTACCAACACGAATGAGTCAGCATTCCATTTCAGGAGGTAGCATATGATCAAGAGCTAATGGTACTAAAGGAAGAAATTCAAGCTGCACTGAAAGCATTAGTCAAAAACAAGACTCCAAGATTTGATGGAATACCAATTGAGATGTTCCAACTAGCTGATGAAGCGCTGGAAGCACTCACTCATCTATCCCAGGAAATTTGGAAGACAACTACTTGGCCAACTGACTGGATTAGATCCATAGTTGTACCCATTCCAAAGAAAGGTAATCCAACAGAATGCTCAGATTGTAGAACAATATCATTGACATCATATGCAAGTAAAACATCGCTGAAAATCATGCAACAGCAGTTGCCTAGGAATGGTGACAAGCAAGCTGCCAGAAGTTCAGATGGATTCAGAGGAGGATGTGGAGCAGGGGATGTCAGTGCTGATGCCAGATGGATCTTGGCTCAAAACAGAAAATACCAGAATGATGTTTACTCATGCTTTACTCACTATGCTAAGGTATTGTAATGTGTGGTTAGCAAACCAGGGAAAACCTTTGGAAGGATGGAAATTCCAGACCACTTAATTTCACTCAACATAATGTCCTCCGGCCTCATCCATGTTATGAGGTGTTTTGCAGATTCATTGTTGTGCTTCGACTTCACTTAGAATTTCATCATATCTACCATCGTTTATCCATTCTTCCATTGATGAGCATTTACGTTTTCCCCATCTTTTTTATACTATGGATAGTGTTGTGATGAACATGACTGTTGTAGCTCTTATTTCTCTAAGATGATACCAGGTAGATACCAAATACCTGGGTCATCAGGTATTTCTATTTCCAACCTGGTGAAGACGTGCCAGCCCTGCATATCTACCCTGTGAGCAGTGTTCGAGGCTCCTGTCCTTGCATAGCTTGCCAGCATTTGTTGTTTTCTGTTTTGTTTTGAACTTTGTTATGAATGCTGGGTGTGGTGCTATCTTATTGCAGCTTTGATTTACATCTAGCTAATGGTTAATGATTTGTGAGCATTTCCTCTTTGTTGGCTGCCTGAATACCTTCTTGGTGAAGTGCCTGATTGTTTTCTGCCCATTTATTTATGGATTACTTAA